TACATACCATACCTACCATATATACCAAAGATAATCATACCATACTTTCAAAACATACCATACCAGACCGACCATACACACCATACATACCCAACATGCCATACCACACCCCCACCACACCACAGGGGGGGAGGGGGACAGTGCCACACCCCCACCACACCACAGGGGGGAGGGGGACAATGCTGGGTCCCCAGGTAGCAGCCCCAATTCCCTTCTATTTGCAAGCTATTGGCAGCATTTCTGAGGTCCAGCTTTGTATTTGCTAGGTCTTTGTAATATTTCTGACTACCAGCCTCGTATTTACTAGGTACATGTTACCTTTTAGGCGGCCTACGTAACACACATATTCCTTCAAAATACCTATATACATATTATTTATAATCATATATATATATATATACTATGTATCTATTCTATCTATTTCCTATTTATTTTCTATATATTTTGATAACATTACCTGTGTTTAACATATACCGTACCTACCATACATATCAATGATACCATACATACCATACCTATCATATCTATTATATATACCATACATACCATACATATGAAATATAATTGCCACACCTACCATACATACAATAATAAATATATATATCATATATACCATACCTACCTTATATAAGAAATATTCCATACCCGTTATAGTAACCATAGATACCATACAGACCATATATATTGTCATATCAAACATACCATACCCATCAGATTTACATAACATACCTACCATCCATACAATACCAACCACTCATGCCATACCAGACCGACCATACACACCATACATACCCAACATACCATATCATACCCCCACCACCACAGGGGGGGGGAAGGGGGACAATACCACACCCCCACCACACCACACGGGGGGGGAGGGGGAAGATCTCATATGGGGCCAGTATATTGGACCCATCCCATGGGGGAGGGGGCGAGGGGGGTGGTGGCAGGGCCTGGTGCATATATATATATATTATATTTTTCTTTTTCCCTAAATTTTTAAAAATCATAATATATAATAAATTTAAAAATCATAATTTATTAATTAATATAATTATATAAATTCCAATATATAATATTATAAAATAAATTAATTAATATTAATATAAATATAAAAATAATAATTAAATTTCATAATTAATAATTTATGTTTTTCCAAATATAAAAAATATTAATTAAATTTCATATTTTTTTAAAAAAAAATATACCAAATCCAATATTTTATATTTTTCCAAAAATATTATTTATTTATTAAAATTATTTTTAATAATTATAAATAATTAATTTATAATAAATATCCCCTTATAAATCCTTAAAATATTATATTGTTCAATAAAATATTATTATTTATTTATATTTTTAATAAAAAAAAACATAAAAAATATTTTTTTATAAATCCTTATATATTTATTTCCTTAATATTTTAAATTATAATTAAATAATTTTTAATTATAATTATGAATTTTATTTTAATAAAAATAAAATATTTTTTAAAAAATAATCCACAAAAAATATACCCTTATAAATCCTTATATTTGTAATTAAATATTAGAATTAATATTTATAATAATAAATAATTTTTTGTTTTTAATTATATTTGCAAAAATAGAGGTCAATATATATCTATGTCCAATTCAAGTTCTTACGAAATAACCTGGAACGAAAGTCGGAGTTGCGCTTTTCACACAGCGCGGGCGCGCCAGTTGGCTATTGAGTTCCCTCCCTCTGAGCCATCAGGCAGGAGAGGATGGATTAAAAAAAGAAATGAATGGATGGTGGCCATGTTACATGGAGTGTAACTCACACAGGGGGAAACAATTAAGTAAAATCCATCCATGTGGGGGTATTTATAACCCTAACTCCATGCTCGTCAAAATAACGTGGCTCATCTTCATCCATTACGTGCAAGTTCTGTTGGGCACAATTTGGGCAAAACCTATATGTCTAAATTTCACGGCCAGAGTTGTATAATTTATCGCATTCTTCATTCGCGTACCACATCCCTGAGCCCAGTTGGATGCGAACATCATTACCCATAGGAGAGACAGCATGGTGGGCATTGAGGTCCAAAATGGCCTGATAGCCCTGACCCATATCCCTAGCTGCAACTTAAAGTGCCGCATGGTACTGTCGGGCAGCTGTTTGAGAATCTTGGTAGGCACGTCTCGCACGATCATATGCGGCTGATCTGCGAACGAATGCAGAGTTGTGTTCGTCGTATATGATGGACAAGGTATTGGCTCTTTTGTTAATTCCATCTCATTGATATTGCGCCTCTTCGTTGCGCAAACCCATCTCATCCAGCATAGCTCGTAAACGGGCCATCTCTGTCCGTGCTTGATCCAATAAAATTTGTGTTTCTCGTAAATCTTATTCCAGCAAACCTCGGTCACGACACATCCAGCAGAAAAACAAAATTGCCAAAGTGGCACATACCAGAAAAATTGCAATCACTGACCAGCTCAGGTTGTTGTTAGAACCCGTCAGCGCAGCATGGTTTCCAGAAGTAAAACATATGGGTGCAGAATTGTTTTTGGTATTTTTTTTTAACAGTTTTGGATTTTTTTTTGGGGTTCGTGCCTCTTCAATTTTTCCATGGTTTTCTTCAATTTTTCCATGGTTTTCTTCAATGTTTCCATAGTTTTCTTCAATTGTTCCATGGTTTTCTTCAATTTTCCATGGTTTTCTTCAATTTTCCATTGTTTTCTGCAAGTTTTCCATGGTGTTCTTCAATTTTTCCATTGGTTTCTTCAATTTTTCCCGGGTTTTCTTCAATTTTTCCATGGTTTTCCAATGGTTTTCTGCAAGTTTTCCATGGTTTTCTTCAATTTTTCCATAGTGTTTTTCAATTGTTCCATGGTTTTCTTCAATTTTCCATCGTTTTCTGCAAGGTTTCTTTGGTTTTCTTCAATCAATCAATCTATATATATATATATGTATGTGTGTATGTATGTATGTATGTACGTAGGTAGGTAGGTAGGTATGTATGCATGCATGCATGTATGTATATGCAGGGTGTGGTTTAGGGTTTAGGGATACAACATGTAATTAGGTATAATTACATGATTATTTGTTGTTTATGTTGGGATCAAAGTTGTGTACAAAAACAACCACAAATATGTCATATATATATGTATACGTCTGTATATCTATAAGTAAATATGTATGTGTATTTATAATATATATATATATATTTATAGTTATATAATTATATAAATATATATATATTGATATGTATATACATATTAATATGTATGTATATATATATACATTTATATAAGTACATTAATATATATAAATATAAGTGTATATATAAATGCAAATATATACATATACATATACATATATATATATACGTGTCTATATATATATATGTCTAGATATATATATATATAATTTTTAACAAAATATTAATATAGTCGAATCAAACAAGTGTATTGAAAAGTGTGCAAGTTTGAATTAAAATAATTTAAAAAAGCGGGAAGGGGGGGATTGGGGGGGAGGGCTGAAGAGGGGCCCTAGCGTCTACTTCAAGATCAGCTAAGGCGTCTTCCCCAATGACAGCACTCTTTTACTCTCAGCCTGTTGCCGGTCAGTGCTTGTCTACAGGGGTACTCTATATACCTCTTGAGCCTTGAAGGGCGCATATAAATGTGCTCAATACTCATGCATGTACCTATGTAGGTATTAGGTCGAAACAAAAACACAGGCACAAATTCAAAAGCAATGAGTAGAGCACTACGCCTTGCCGTACCCAATTGGTATTAAGAGTATCTTCCTGACTTCTCTACCCAATGGCAAATAGCAAAAGAAACCGGAGTTACGCAGTGGCTTCGAATTGAAAAACACGTGAAAGCAGCGAATGTCCTAAGGACATGTCGAAAAAGAACAGCGGATTCGCTAATTTTCCAGTAGTGACCAATGGTGCTTCGCGCACGGTCTCTCCACAGGCAAAATGCCTCGCTCTACCGGTGAAAGTTCGAATTGAAAAGTTCGGGTTCGCAAGATTCAGAAATTCAGGTCATACGAAAACAATTGACCAAATCACGAAATAAACGGAAATAGCGGATCTCCAAAGTTGCTCATTCAAGCAAACAATGGACTGAAATCGAAATTGGTAAATTTTTGAAATTCGCTCCATTCGGAGTGGTCTGCTCGCCGGATGTTCATGGAGATAAATGTATATAGTATCTCTATTTACAAGAGTCTCTATTTTACATTAAATTGAAGTTCAGACACTTGTGGCATTATCTCTATCTAAAAGAGGATATGCCATCTGTGTGAAATAAGTTGAACGCACAGAAAAACTGTACACGGCTTCTCATGCTGTGTTATCTTCAATTAAAGAAGTGTACACTCACTCATCGCCACTCATTTGATCTCCATGGTCTGGACACTGAAGATGAGGATCAACCCCATTCTGTGTTGCCCTGATACGTCGATGCTTGATTTTCATATGCCTTTCTCTTTTTCTCCTTCTGTCTTTCCTTTCTTGAATCAGCATACTGCTTCTTCTTGTAGGCCTGTTTGTAATG